AACTAGTTTCTGGATATTTGCAGATAACATATATTATAAATAATGCAGTGGAAGAAGAACGTTCGGGTTTTTCCTGGTCTTCGGAAAAGTCCTGGAAATACTTTCAGGAGGAGAAGTTTGATAATAATTCTACAACCTTTATCGGAAGACTTGCTCGTGAATTAATTCGAATTACAGATCCCAGGTAAACATATCACACGGCTACTCCATATACTATAATGAAATAATAATTATATATGTACATACAGGACTACTGTCTACATTGAACATTCACTAGCCTGGTACGATCTTAAAGCCCAGACAGAAGTACTAAATTATAAAATCTTCTCAAGGACATTTGAAGCAATCGGTACACCCGGTTTAATAGGGCTAGACAAGCTTATTTCATTTTACATTATTACCGAATTAAACAATATGATATGCTACATAGAAAAGAACATTCGGAATAAAACGTGGTCGTCCACGATTGATCATTTCGGTACAATATTAAATTCTACGGATTCTACTAGAAGTAATAGCATTTTGTAATTTCGTTAATCATAAGTGATAAGTACTTATTTTATTTAATACATATGTTATATTTATAGCTACTTTATCTAAGCTCCATAGTTCGATCACTGCCCAAGTAAGTAAATTTTGTCCACAAATACTTGAATGGGTGTTAAAAGTTGGGCATTATCAACTGCTTAAAAAAAAGATAGCGTACGAATTAAATACCGCTTGCAAATTTGAAGCTAAGCACATGGAAGCAGCGCTTCAAACGTTACACAAGTACGCATGAATAATATTTAAGAGAATGCACGTATACTATTGTACGAATTCCTGTTGGCTTACATTTCTACCAAATTTTTAGAGCCGTTTTATATGAAATTGATAAACAAGGAAATACGAACCATAATGAAGCTGAGAAGAATGAACTGCTACAGGAACTTAGTACCAGATTAGATTGGGCTGGTATAAGTAATCCACAAAACAATGTATACATCAAACCACCAAGCTTAAATGATATTGCACTCATAATGTTTTTAGTTACTGTACCACAGTTATCTAAGATACAATATTGTAAAAATACAGGTAACTTAAACGTCTAACTAGAATTTGTATTTGGATAGTAAGGTACAAAGTGATTAAACATTAAAATAATTTCAGGAACTCTTTTGAGTAAGAAGCCTCAAGATTCTCTTGATGCCGTAGTTTTCGTTATTGGAGTACAAACTGTATTGAGGCAATGTACATTTACGGCGATGACACGCTATGTTAAATATCTTTGTATATACGTTCTTTCTTGTGTTACCTCGGATAGGTATGCGAATTTTTTAATACTTTCATGTAAAAAGATATTAAGTGACATAACATTATTATATTTTACAGCGTAAAAGCGGGGAGCGATGGAGAACCCGAAGGAACTAACGCTTTACATATTTTAGAATTATTTACCAAATATTCTGGCATATCGCGATCGTTTATACTCAAAGAGATTCCTATAGCTATTATGGATCATTTCCAGGCAAAGACTGCTAAATAAAGAATATTTAATGTAAGACAATTTTAATGGCTAATGCTACGTTCGCACTGTATCGAACTAAAAATAAATATTCTATTTTGTACATTTAATCAGATACGTATTTTTTATGCACATGTATCGTGTATTATAAATGTATCAGTTATTGTTGAATAAAAAATAATAAAATTCTATCATTATTACTGAATGTTTACTTTTTAAAAAAAATTACTGCCTATAAACATTATTTATTACCTAAACTGGTAGAAAATCGATATTTATTTTAATTTTCATTTGCCAGACAAGCTTAATTTAAGTTGTTAGATACAAAATTTGTTGAATGAGAGTACAGTAATAAAGTAGACAAGTTCAATTTCTAAGAATAAAAATTAAATTACGATGAATTGCGTGGGAAGGAAATAATAACTCTCACTCCCAGTCTATACATCTGCAGTGGGAATTTCTGTACGCATTGGCGGCTGAACGCTAAATCGCTGCGAGCGGTGGCGGCGGCCTGCGGCGTTTACGAAGCGCCGTTTGTAATATTTAAAATTTTAAAGTATATTAAAACAATGCTTTATACTGCAATGCAAGTGGTATTATAATTCTCTAAATTTACAACTCATTTTCAATTATCTTAGTTCTTATATCTCGTTGAAAATAATGATATAAATAACGTGAACGCGTTCGTCGGCAGAAACGGCCGCTGCTAGAACGCGAAGACGCCGAACGGCCGCTTCCGCTATTTATAACTTCGAAGAAAATAATATTTTATACATTTAAAAGAGCGATTTGCTAACCTTTAGATTGTTTACAGGGGGAATACGTTTTTCTCTTATTATTTTTAAATTACTTTAAACTTTATACCATAGTTTGAATAAATAAATTGTGACAAAAGTTGTGAAGGCACGTAGGCGGCTGGAACATCGTCATCGGCGTCAACGGCGCGCGACAGCTGCAACGGCGATGCTGGCTACAAAAGAGACCGCGATGAATCCCGAGCGCAGTCTTCCTAGATCGAGCATCATTATAAACATCGTCTTTTATTTATAATTTAGATTTTAGTTATAGTTACAAGTGATAACGTCTGAGATAAGAAGAATGTGCAGTAAAAGTGTCTACTTCTTATTTTTATAATATTGTAGCTACAGTTTGTATTCTTTTAGTTTGTAGTAAAATACGTTGTTAGTATTTCTTGTTTTCTGTTATACGCTTAATTTTACCATTACCAATGATTTTACTATTTATATAGAATTCACAACACTTACTTCAGCGTACGTAAAATACATGTATCCTTTTTAAAATCTGTAAAGATATATCCTAATTTTGAAAGGTCAATAGTAAAGACCATTTAATGTTTTTATGTGAAATAGAAATGTCTTTTACGTGAGTACAATTTATATATGTATAGTATAACGGAATCTGTATGTTCTTTTTTGTGGTCCCCCATACGTTAAATTATGAGATGGAATTTAAATTTCATCGTGGGCAAATGAGTAAATACAATTTCGTAAGAAGTTCATCGCAATCGTACATAACGATAGTATAATATATGACACCTATTCCAAATTGGAGGCGAAATTATATACATGTGCGACTGTTATTTGAGTATCTGCACTCTTTTTTTAGTACAAGTATATATATCGTCTCCTTTTCATTTAGCAATAAGTTATTTAATACAAAATATAGTAAAATTAATCATGCAAATGTTTTTCATTAATTTAATAAATGTTTTCATTAAATTAGAGAACAATGCGAGTGAGCATCATCATCATTCTGGCTTTTGCCACTGGAGTTATTGTAGCAACGACTAGAAATCATAACTTCTCTAATTTCGTAAAACATCATGCAAGACCGCGAGTAATTCGCGGCTTCATACCCGAACATATGTCTACAGCATACGGTTTCGGAAAAAGGCAAAGTTCCATGGACGCTTCGAAAGTGGATAAAAATGAACGAATCCTATCAACGCTTTTGCGCTATTTTCCACAAGGGTATATTATACAGTATGATCTAATCAACGAATCTATCGTTGCAAGTAATGCGAAACATTTTTAATTACAGAATCTCCACGGAATGGTTACTTCAACAAATGAAAACTAATCCTGCTTTTGCTTCGAAATTGATACAATTATTACTCGATGGACGCCCTGATTTCGTGCCGATGTCGGAACATTTTAATCCAGAAAGAATAACTTGGCTATATTAGATCATTCATTGTATGTATGATCAAATAATGTACACGAATTCTAGCTATACCTTCTAGTTTAATAAATTTATGTTAATCAACAAGTCTATTGCCAGAGTGTTATTTTCGACCCCGATCTTATCCCTTTCCGAACGTGGCCGATAGATTTATTTGACATTTTTGTTACGGTCTTATATACCTACAATTAGTCAACCATTATAAGAACTAAAATACATAAGCACAAACTGCTCAAGCTGTTGTCCACCCGTATTTCTTCGGTTCTTCTTGAAATTAGGTCGATCAGGTCCATACCCGGAATTCACTCCGAATCCAGTGCTATACATTTTTTCCGCATAGATGGTGTATCATGTCTTCTTGTCGAGTTACATCGGAATAAACGAATGAAACCCACTCCCGCCATTTCCCAGTGACCAGTACTGTGTACTGCAGCCATGTTCCACGGATTGTTGTGATTGTATTTCGTCTGCAGTTTATGGCATTTAATAAATATCTTTTACTTGTTTGTATCTAAAATTAATTGACTCGATTGATGGTGGACCATGCGAGAAAGTTAAAGTGTCGTGGTTCTGTCAGAAACCTAAGCATCATTGATGTTTGGTTTCGCGTATGCATCGCGGACGAAGTAATCATTTCTCGATATAAACGAGTTAAAATAGCATAAATTGGAACGGAGATCTCTTCGTTATACTGTGAGAAATGAACACCCCGACAACCAGAGATGTTCTGCGAAGGGCAGACGGAACACGTAGGAGATCTGCTCGGCAAGCTTTGGCAGCTATTCCTGTCAACAATTCCGCGTCGCCTGGTACGTCTTCATGACAATCTCCATTCCGTTGGCTACCTGTTGCTTTCCGTTTTTAGTTTCAATTCAATTGTTCTAGGGGAGACAGTCTCTGCTACTGAAGTTAATGCAATGGACAATTTTTTAAACAGTCGACATGGTTCTGAATCTTGGAGCCCAGCACCTAGCCCAGATGAGATGGTAATTCAAAAACGTGGACGTCGTCGGAGAACTATAGTTTGGTCTCCTGATCTTGACACTTGTAAAAGAAATAGTCTATTTAGGTATTATATGTTCTTCGCCTGTTTCCTTCTTGTTTTTCAAGTATCCTGATTGAATAACTATGCAGCTGAATTCATTGTAGTTTAAGCGCTAAAGACCGTACTCCAGTAAAGAGTCCATCAAAATCAACTATGGTGCTGAGAAGTACTCCCAGGAAAAGACTTGCTCTTGGTGATACCAATGAGTCTCAGTTCACAACACCGGATAAGAAGAAGAAACCACAGAGTACATCAGATATTAATGAAAAGTATTTCAATGGAAATTTATTAAATGGTTTAAGAGGTCTCAGCCATGATCAGTTAGTACAGATGATTGTGGATTTGGTATCTATGCAAGAAGATGGTCTTCTAAACGGAAACGAAAAAATACGCAATATTTTGTTGAAAAAAATGCCTGTGGCTGATATACAGCCATTGATCGATGCACTGAACAATTTGAAACAAAATATTCGAGTCCTTATCGTGCCATCCAACTTAGAGGAATCGTTAGATGACCATGCTCGTATTCATTTAGACGCGTTTCAGGTGTTACCTTTCTCTTATTTTATTAGTACTTTTTCAACTTCTGCCTTTTTTTAAAATTTTTATTTACTTTAACATTATGATTTCACAGAAAGCTATTGTGGATCAAGCTAAAAGGCTTGTGGAATCACAGCACTGGATATCTGTGATGCATTACGTTTACGCAGCATGGAATATTACAAAACAGTTACACGAGTGGGACAATCAAGTTCTGTGTAATTTGACTCATAAATGTTTTAAAAATTTGACACATTTTTGTTCGCTAGCATTAAAGAAAGGAAACTTTCCTGCTACCGTACTGGATATGTTTGCCGAGAGGTATAGACAGAATATATGCGTGTCATCTGGATTTTACAAGTTGTTAACAATGTTTAATCGATTTGTTCACAGGCTCGAGACAATGGTTGTTGACTTTGAGGATCTAAAAGTTTGTTTACAGTTGATAAACGAAGTTAAAAACAACTAGAATTGAACATTTATTCTATGTCGTTAACTGTCGGGGCCATACATATAAACATTATCTATATAAACATATATATTTTTAATATATGATTAAATTTTAATTGTGATGTAAGGGCTCCGTAAGGAGTTCTAACTGGTACTGTTAAATTATTATATTTTTTTACTCTACCTTTTTATAACTTTCATACAATTATCTAATGAGATTCACATGGACCGGTATTATCATAATTTTAAGAATATTTAAATATTCTAGTGATATTATTATGTTGGATTGTTTAAAATGCTTGATGTTTCTATTTCGAAACTGCGATTAATAATTACGTTTGATAAATGTTGCTTAAAAACATGTTATGTTATCAGTAGAAAGGTAACTCGTATTAAACACGAGTATAGTTAAGATCAAACGTTTGTTATTTATATTTACGATAGATACGCTAAATATTTAAGTGGTTTTATATTCTTCTAATGCCTTTCGTGTGTATTCGGTTAAAAAAATATGTCATAATGACACTTACCTCATTGGTATAATTTTTCTCCTGTATTTTTTCATGACAATAAACGTATAGTATGTATAAAAAGTTGGTTTCTATTAAAAAACAATTTATTCGTCATAATATATCATGCATTCTTACATAATATATCCATTATTACTTTTGAAAGGCACATACTTCATGTAAGAGTGTTTGTGTATTCTGTGTATATGTATACGCGTGTACGTGCGGATGTCAGAAATATCCTGAGAGCAAACTAATATTTCTTTTATGTAGCTATACACATTGTTTAATCTTCATCTTAACAGAACAACGATCGCACTCAGAATTTTTCTGATCGGGCCATTCGGATTTTTCCTAGGCAATAATTAATCAATCGTACAAGTGTTTAGCCAAGTGTTAGGTCGATGAGTTAAGAGATTTTTGCGTTGATGGATACTACTCCATCCGGAGAGTAACGTAATTAAAAAGAAAAGAACGGTAGACGCGACCGTTTTGCAATCATCGAGATTCTTCCGCGAATCTCTAGTGTTCAGGGCAAAAAATATCTTTATTTTTCCCTTGTCAACGTCGTTCAAAGTGCGTACTGGCAAGATTAACACATAATTTCTTAGGAATATTTTCGAAATCCGAATATCGTCAAGATCGGATTTGGAAAAATTCCGCTGGACGAATAAAAACGTAACAATGAGCACAACAAAGATCTGACTTCATCTAAACGAAAACATTTAGGTGAAACAAATTAGAACGCATTTTAAGTACGCTTACATCTGTTCTGCGCAATATGCGTAACATAAAATTTACCCTCTTGGCATTGGAAGGTGAGAGGATCCGTTTAAAAAGTTTCTGTTTCCCAACGAGCCACGGAGTAGAAACGTGCATTTTAAAATTAAGGAAAAAATTGTAATCGCTTCGTTGCTACTTAGAAACAATGAAGAATGCCTCTTAAAAATTAATGGTATAAAAAACTGTCGATTTTTAGTCGACCTCCAAGCTTCAGTCGGGATAGATTCTAAAAAGAAACTTTTTAAGTGATCTTCATCGCACGGCAGTATACTTAAGTGATGAATATTAAACCGAAAACTAGATGGGTTGTCTGGCTAAAAGTGGAATCACGGGCAAAGAGATTTAAAATTCCTTTTTGCGTTTAAGAAAGTCATAAACGATCGTAGCAGACAAAAAGGTACATTAACGTTTCTTTCACTAACTTAAAAAATAATATTATTAAACTTCGCGCGTGTACAAGATATCCTATACGCATCATTCCGAATTAACTGCTATTTAATTACACATCCCGATCTTGATTGTTCGTTACGAAATTCACCCATGATATCCGGGCCTGTTGGCATTAAGTGATCATTTCGCCTTACAAGAAAGAAAAAGAATATAAAAAGAACTATAACGCTCCGTTCACGCTTCGTTCGAATGACAATGGGACGCGATTAAATTAAGATAACGATCCGTAATGCGACGATACAATTATGATACTTAACGAGATAAAGCTGCGAATTGAATACTGTGGTAATGAATCATCGGATATTACAAGTTCGCCGGCCGTGATGCGTCTTAATCCACCTTTGCCGGTTGCACCCTTGGGTATAGCTGAAAGAATCAACGGAATAAACTATAAAATAGATGGAATGTAGGAAACAACAGTCGAGGATAATTCAAGGTTCAATCTTTTTTTTCGTTGCTATTTTTTCATAGTTTCACAGATGTGTCTTCGTGATCCACTTTTTAGTGGATTTTGAGCAACTTACGCCAAGCAAATTCCGAGGTACGTAGCCTTCTTTGTGTCCCAGTTTGCTCCACCACCACTCCCTCTCGTTGTCGTCACCTTTCCGAAGAACTACCAAAGAATCACCATTCTTCAGGGTTAGTTCATCGCTGTGCTGCGCCTCGTAGTCGAATACCGCGTAAACCTGACCATTATTCATTATACCAAGTTTCTCTTGGACACCTGATATAAAACGAGTTCAAATTATTTAATGTAATTCTATACAGATCGAAAAATCCTTATATTAAATTCATACTGACTGTACAAATACTCTGAGCAGCCATCGAAGCCCTCCTCGTCTTCTTCGCACTTTTCTGCTGCAGTTTCGTGGTCGGACAACGTAGTGGCGAATATACAAGCTCCGTGCTCCACGAGAAATTTCACCATCGACAAATTATTGCAACTCGCCGCACAGTGTAATGGAGTCCTTTTATCACCATAAAAAAAATCAAATCAAACACATACTATGGTGTATACATTACACGATTCAAACAATAAACATTGTTCCTTACCATCCGTCGCTGTCTTGAGCATTCACGTCACAACCAAATTCTACTAAGAACTTGACGATCTCCAGATGACCGGCACAAATCGCGTTATGAAGTGCAGTGATTCCTTCGTCGTTTGCTGAACTAGGATTCGCAACCTCTTTAGCAGTCTTCTTCACCAATTCCAGTTCGCCTTCGAGGCTAGCGTCCAAAAGGAGCGCCAGAGGGTCAAAGGAGACCCTCCTGGATAGGTTCGCCTTTCCTGTACTGGACTTCAGGTTCCCCTTCTTTCTCCTCATTACCTCGCTGCCCTTCCCTTCGTTTTCCGTTCTTTCGGAGTCTTTCGTTTTTGCCTTATCCTCGATGTTGATCACGTTTAATGCATCAATGATGTCCGCTTCTTCTAATTTCTCGTTGCTGATCACATCTTCGTTGATGATCTTCTTACAATGATCCGTCGTATCGATGATCTGCGGCTGCTGAGGTTGTTGTTGCTGTTCCGTTTGCATCAGGTCCGCTGGAATTTCGGTCTCCGGAAATAGAAACGCCGGTGGCATTTCAATCCGTCGATTTATCGATACGTGAACATTCGATTTTGCGTAACGGAGTTTCGGCTGTTCAGAGATCGGCGCCTTTTTCAGGGTCAACGGTCTAGCCTTGATGATTTGGTGGTTGCTGAATTGGTTCTCCGTGGGCGATTCCGGTGGTTCCGATGTCGGTATCGGCGGCGCGTCTTCTTCTTTCTCTATTCTGTATAAAATTACACAACAGAAACGTCAGCTGGGGCCTGAGCAGCTTGAGAGTCTCAACTGTCGACGAATAATTGGATTAATCGGGGGAATACGATCGACACGGTTAATCCTTAGAATTACAGGCTTCAAGTTTTGATACAATGTTAGATTTGGAACAAGTGGATCGAAAGGTTTTTGACCTAATAAGAAGCGCGCGTACTGATAACGTTTCAAAGGAAACGATTAGAAAATAGAAATTTCGATCCCGCGCCTCGATCGATCGAAGAGCTCGCGTGTACTAAACTATTGTCTCGGCTACACGGTAGTCGTTCTATTTCGGTGTCTATTATTCGAGATAGGCTTCGATTCACTGGCCAAATCGATCGCGGACTAATTAACATTTATAATTAACCCCGTAATCGGTTTCCTACGTGTCCTCAAAATTGCAGACCGAACTCAGCTTTCCTTCGAGGTATAGCTGACTTAATACGAATTCACATTTAAATTCAAATTAAATTTATAAATTAAAATAAGAAACATAGACATTTCAAATTGCGAATTTAAATACTGAAAGATTAGCAACATACCTTTGATTTATTCCCAAGTTGGTCTTGCAATCACCTATACCATCGCCCGAATTGTCAATCTTCTCGTGGTGGGTCAACCGAGGCGGTGGATTCGGTTTACTCGGTTTTGGGGGTAGCGCCGGTTTCGTCTTGTCCTCAATCATATTCTTCCTCTCGTTCTCGTTCTTCAATCTATCGAACTCGGTATTCTTCGCCAGGATTTCGAATTTCCCATTATGCTCGTGTTTCGCCACGGTATTCTGCTCGAACTTGCTCTGATTGTTCTCAAATTTCACCGGTTCCTGTTGTTTGAATTGCTGTCCCCCGGTCTCGTACTTGTTCGGTGGCTCGTGCTTGAATCCCGTGTTGTGCTCGTACTTGACCGACGGTCTCACCTCGTGTTGATCGTGCTTACCGTACTGCTGAGTATTCTGATTGGGATCGTACTTGGTCCCGTGGACCTGTTCGTGTTTAGTCTGACCGGTTTCGTATTTACCCTGTTCGGGCTTGGACACGTTATCATACTTGATCGTTTGATTGCCGAGTTGTTCGTGTTTGTTCGACTGCTCGTACAGTTTCGTTGGCTGATTGGTTTGTTCGTACTTCCCATGCTGATCGTATTTGGAATGCTGTTCGTACTTCATCTGATGAGGATCGTATTTGAATACCTGATTCGGCTCGTACCTTTGTTGTTCATGTTTAGCCGGCAACACGTGCTCGAATTTCTCTTTCCCCTGCTCGAACTTCATTTTGTCGGATTGCTCGTTACCAGACGTAGGACTGAGCGGTTGGTTGTACCTTTGAACAGAATTACCGTAGCTAGATCCACTAGACGACGTGAGAATGGTGGATGGTGCGTTGGGAGAATTCTGAGCTTGATACACATGAGTGTTCGCTTGAGTGGAGTGTTGAACACTGGGATAGTTATGCCTCGACGTGTACGTCTGGTCTTGGCTGGTAGGAACGGGTTGATTCGACTGTTGTTGATTAGCGTTCTGAGTACTCAGGCTGACAAAATTTTGCGCGTTGCTATGCCCACGTCCGATTAGACTCAACGTCTGCGGCATTACGGGATGGATCTTCGTGGAGGAAGTCTGATAGATCTGAGACTTGACAGAGAAACTCGGAGCCACGCTCGATACCGGTTTCTGATGCATTTGAAGATTCCTATGATTTTGTGTTTGCGTGATGGACACCGTGGTACCAAGATTCGACGCCGAGGAGCCAACATTGTGCTGTTTCTGCTGTACATTTCCGTGCTGCTGCTGAGTTTGGGACTGCTGTTGATGATGGATCCGAAGATTCTGCGATAACCCTTCCGAGCCGAAGTTGTGCGAGCCTAGTAAATTGTTGTTCGTACTATTCGCGTTATTATTATTATTATTGTTATTATTATTGTTGCAAGTCTGCTGCACGTTCACGGGTTGACCAGGCAGGTTCTGATTGTGCTGTTGCTGATTGGTGCCCAATAATTGCGACTGGCCTGGGAACATCAATCCAATCGCGGTTAATTAACACTATGATTCTAGTAAATCAAATTTCAAACGAGCCTACCGAGCTTTTGATTACGTTACACCAATTACAAGTGACAATTACCTTGAATGTGGGATTGAGATTGGCTGTGAGCAATCTGATGTCCGAACTGTTGACCGAAACCTGCTCTTTGTCCTAGCTGCGAAGCACTAGCCGAGTGCTGAATCTTGTTCTTGTTAACATCATCCTCGGCAGCTTTGAAGTTCACCGTGAATTTGGTATTGTACGGCAGTGTCTGGTACTTCGGGTCGTTCTTGTTCAGATTGAAGTCATTGTCGTTTGGTATGTGGGAATACGGCTCGATGGCTGCTATATTTCCGGCTGGTCTCGACTTCCCGCCGGCGTTAAAATCCAGCTTCGACTCCGTGAAACCGGTGTTCGCGTTCGTACGGTTTCCGGAGTCCAATTGTTGGCTCAGTCGCTGGTTCAAGGCTCTTTTACGCTGAAGCCGACCCTGAAGTTGAGCTATCCTCGCGTCTATCGAAGCCATCTCGGCCTGACGTTGCGCCAGAGCTAACCGTTGCTGAGACACCACCTGATTCTGCTGCTCATTCATCTTGTTACGGTACTGTCGATACAGAAAAATATACAAAACTCGTCGCAACTCGAGCACGGAAGCTCGGCTACTTACAAAACTGTTCAATAGAATTTATGCTAATGGAATTGAAGTTCTGGCAGTCTCATTTGCCGGATCACTAGACTAACTGGACTATTTAACTAAGCTGTCTCTGAACTCCATTCTAGTTGAAACATCCTGAGAATACTAGATTAGTCGATTACTACAAATTCGCAAGCCATCGCTAATGGTAAGGTAACTTCGAGACTCAATCCTCTAACAAAAAATTTATTCGAAGTCCGCGATTAAAATGTTTGAACGAACAGTTGAAATTTACTGCAAATAGAAGCTATGAAACGCGAAGTGAAATCCCGAAAGGGAGAAAAAGGGCTCACCATAAGTTCTCTCCTGAGTTTCTCCAGCTCGGCGCTGGCCGGCGTCGACAAGTGTCCGGCTCCGCCGCCGCCTCCGCCTCCGCCTCCAACGCCTCCGGCACCTCCACCTCCGTTTCCGGTCCCGGCAGCGTTCTGCCGGCCCCGCAGCTCCTCGAGTTGTCGCGTCAGCTCCTCGACCTTCGCCACCGCCAGCGAGAGTTCCTTCTCCTTCTCATTGAACAACGCTCTTATGCAGTCCAAGTCCGAGGCTGCGAAAATAGAAAAAAACGTATTTTTCTTTCAAAGTAGCAAGAGTTTAGTTGTCGCTACAAGAGCGAAAAGGGTTGCGAGAAGGTTTTCATTTATAAAACTGTGAAAGTGGATTTGTTGTTGCACTTTTATGTGTACAGAAACGAGATGTATTTATATGACAATAAAAGTAGAAAAAACAGATAGAGACGCCTCTTTCAAAAGGGAAACTATTCTGAAAACTACCCTTCCTCGTATTGGAACAGCATTCTTCCGAGACAATCCAACTTCGAAGATTCTTCTGGCCAACGTTTGAAGTCTAAGCTAGAGACTGATTCAACATATCCTTCCAAAGCGAGAGAGAAGCGTAGCTAAGTGAAACGGTCGTTTCACCCGATAGATCTATAGTCGGTGCGAATGGAAAACTTTCTTTTAATTATATATTTTCCTCCTTTGAGCCCGTATTCTCCTCGCTTTAATCTCCGCTGGAACAACGTTATCTTATTCCCTTTCTCACTAACTCGTGGATATTCTTGTCAAAGAGTAAATTATCGGGAACGAGAAACGGATACTCTGTGCTGCAATACATAACAAATATACCTCTTGTCTCTTTTCCACGAGACAGAGAGAGTATTCGATGGGATGGAATTCTCTTTCATTGAAAAAACGAGGAGTCTCCTTTTAGTCGCTCGCGAAAATCACCGGATCGTTCTCATTTTCTCTATTGCTATGGACTCTCCTTCGTTTTTGTTCCGAGTAATGATTCAGCGACTAATGTCCAAACGCGAGCCACAACGTAATGAAAACCGTTGTCGCGTAAGCTATTACTTTAATTGCTTCTTTTCCAACTTTCCAAACGCTAAGCCGATGGTGCTTTCTCATTGCGCGGGAATTACCACGAATAAAAAAGCCGTCTCGACTAAATTATCAGGTTTGATTTGAATCTTTCAATCAGTGAATTAGATCTCTTACTCGTTTAAACTCGATTACAGAATTTTCCAATAGCTGGGTTCTCCGTAAGTGGCAACTGAAATCTTTCACGAAGTTTTGTTGTGAAGCTTGACTATCATTGTGAACAGCGTGAATGATATTGGTAAAGTCAAATAAATCCGAAGACCACATCGATCCTAATCAATCTCCCCGACGAAAGCTTCTCAGTTATCCGGCAGTCGTTTTTTCTATTAAACGAACCGGTTAGAAGCCCTCCATCACTATCGGTCTTCGCGAACGATCGTTCATCGGATCGCAACAAGTCTGTCTCTAGTTTTCCAGCTTGATTCGCTGGAAAACGTCGCGAGCGGAACCACTCGACCGTGCGTCGGCTGTCTCCTCCTAGCTTCCAGCGTCGTGGAAGGAACCACCTCGATAGCTCGCGAACACGGCACGTAGTTGCTCGCGGGAACATCTCGAATAAGGATCCTGATGTATCCGACGCGACGCTGCGTCTCGCGTGGCGAACGTGATTCGACTGCTCCGTCTCTAGTTTCGTTTATTTGTCTCCGGTGTCTCGTTTCCCTCCGGAAAAGTGACGCTTATTGCGATCCTTCTCGTCGAGAACTTGCTAAGGATGGGTATTTTCAGCGTTTTCGACATGCTATCGTATTTTCGTACCGCGTAATTAGAGTACCTTCAGGGAATTCACGAGGTAGAGAAATTTTTTAACCAAGCTTTGACCTCATCAAAGAACACATCCACGTTTTCTCATTTCCACGATATTCGACTAAAAATGGACTTAAGTCCCGCGACATGATACAACTGCGGTCTTGTTCAAACTTCGCTGGCCTTTCACTGCCTTAGTGCCATTTCCCGCGGGATAGGAGCTACATGAAGAAAAGTAGGCGATGCGCTTGGGAAAAGGAGAAAGAATGCGGGAAAAGAGTTTTGCTGTTGCTCCGCAAAGAAACGATCGGTTTCTGCCAACATTTTATTAGATTAAACTCTTCATTTCCATTTCTTTCTTGCCTTTTCTCGCGACGTCGTCTCGCCAGCCAAATAAACGTTAATTCGAAATAATCGCGAACAGAGACGCGTTACGTGTACAGACGATTTGAAAATGATGTTACCTGAAAATACGGCTAACCCGAATTTATTTGCGGAGGAAAATTTAACCGGTGAAAGTTGTGGCAATTTGCAGCTTTTGGACTGGAGACGGCTGTTGCACCGAAAATTGGAAAATAGGTTGTAACTGAGTGTATGCCGCAACTTTCTAAAGCGAGCTTTGAAAGTTTACTCCTGGAAACACCTGCTTCTCTGATTCGGCTGCTTTGCAAATTCTTAGAGCCCAGCGCTCTTTGACTGTTCTCCTCATAAGATGTTTCCATCTCTTTTTAAGCCGAGGACATCCAACTGACGTTTCTATACTTTTGCGTATAACTTTTGAGTACAACTATCAACAAATGTGTTTTATAGGTCTATTCATATTCCTATGATTAAACTATCGATGCTTGAAGTAAATTCCAATTTAATTTTTGCACAAACACAAAACCTTCACTGATGATATATTTTTCATCGGTCGACCCTGACCTCACATTCTTGATTAGCTTCTGGTGGAATCACCGCAACCACGTGATTATTGCGAAAATCCTTGAAACTCAACAAAAGCATGAGAACCACTACAATGCAAATCCAAACGATTTAAATAATTAAATCTACATAAATTAAATTGATATCGCTGCACGATTGAAGATACGCGCAGCAACGCTGGAAGCTATGGTTTGATGAACGTGCTTCGACAACAGTGCTCCTGTTGACAGATCCCCATTGTTTAATTGTACATGCTAATTAAAATACAGTATTTAATTAAATGTCCTGTTCAACTCGCACACCTCATCAACACGTCTGTATTTTGTCAAGAGTACGTGTCTGTGGTTCAGCGTTAGAAACATCCAAACTAATTGGCTGAAGATTGTGAGATTGAATCAATAGTTATACGAAAATAGTATGCTTTTATCGAAATTACGCTGCGAGTTGCGCGTACCAGATTAAATAGTTCGGTTTTTGTGGTCTGGAATCAAATCCGTGAGCATAATAGATTTCTTTATCAGTTCACTCCATTTCTATTGATCCAATTTTTTCCTGCATTTCCTATCTCGTTTCTTTCATAACATTTCGCATTGCCCATAATTTGAAAGAACATAAATGGATTTACCATCCATTAGCCAGATTGATGATTTAATATTGCCATGTTTTTTATATGTATTTTTCATCGACGATTCTTTTATGCAGACATTGATTGCATCATGGATTAATATAATGCAGAAAAATAATCTGGAATAATTATCCATTAAATATGCAAATGGCAACATGATACTATAGGCATTTGCTGGAAAATTTGTGCACGTATGTTCATCAGGTGGCTAGAATAATTAACTGGTCTCTTCTTCCAACCATATGAGGTCCCTGTTAATTGTTTCTAGTTTGATTTACGTTGGCATTGTGGTTGCGGCGATTATCGATCGCACGAGACGATGTGCACATTATGAAATCGCTGTTCGAGGATCTCGGAGCACGGTAATTGCAAGCACGAAACTGTTTCATCCTGGCGAAGTAGTCGCGAGATTTGTCGATTCTCCGATTTTGAGTCGAGGAAATTTGTGCCCGTCTTATGCAAACTAGCGACGATTTCCCACGACTATCGAGAACGAAAGAGGATTTCCTCGCGAGTTTTCATTGCTGCGAGAATTAAGTACCGACTCACTACGCAATCTTTGAATCATTTTACGGTTTCCCACTCCCAAGCACACATACTTCTAACTGGTGCGGACCCTCGATATTGATTCGTTTAAAAAAAAAAAAAAGTAATGGAAGGTCTGACTAGGATTTCCGACCCGATTGCTTTTCACGCTAAATTTAATCACCGAAGTTTTGTTGCACTCAGGGGAACGTGTTTTTAGGACAATCTCAGACCACACCGTGGACTTTATGCATTCATAAAAAAAAATTGCATTTGTAGAAGATTAAAAAATGCATATAATCTCCAGGGAGACACAAAACATCCAAAGTGAAATATCTATATATTACTACTTTTAAGGATGTATTGGCTTAAGAGACAGAGGAAATTCTATCTACATATAATTTTCTAAATTGATATCATAAAAGCATAAGAGTTCATACTCTAATAATAACGTATCTTACATTCATGGCACGTGATTCGCGGAATGTGTAAAACGAAAGGTTGAATCAAATTGATTACAAAGTCAGTGGGACGAAAAATGAACTGATATCGGTCTTGGAGGGTTAATGTACAAAAGAAGATTGTCAGTGTGATTCGATAAAGTTCAATCAGGCTGGGACTCGGATATATCGGTGGCACGCGTATTTATCAGAAATCCATTTGGTCAGGAGCGAGCGTAGACAGACGGAAAACACGGTGTATCCGCGACCACGGATGCCAGGAGGCGTATCGAATCTCGAAACAACCAGCCAGCGAGAGTTCGCGAGCCGCGCGGTAGGTATAGCCAGAGATATTCGATAATGGAATTCTAGGTCATCGGACAATCGCGCCAAGCGACGATACATCATTCCGTCACCCTCTCGCTTCCCTTCCGGTCAGATTATAGAGTCGGTTCACGGTCTCGTCAAGTTAATTTTAAGCGAATATTCCCTGGCCCGTTCGCGAATCCCAATTTTGCACACGGGATCGATTTACGCGATGAATCGGAAGAGTCTTTAAAGAATGCTCTGAAATCAAATCGTAAATACAGTACGTAGCCTCGAAATGCCCCAACGTTTGTGGTTGCAGTACTTGAATGACGAGCGATTCTAAAAACTCTACCCTCGCAGGATCTGTGTGTCGTCAAGTCCGGTCTCGGTAGTATGTAAAGTATTACGTTTTTTAAAATGGGAACCGAGGAAATACAAATATTTTATTATACGAAAATTTTGAAGAGCGAATATGACCTGGTCGACGGTCAACGTAATTGACACAGTGACTCTTGATCAAATGACTAAACCCAATTCTTCGCTTCGAACCGTCTCCGAGACTTTGTACATGTAAAAAGAATTCACTATTCTAAAGAAT